GACTTCGTCTCACCTATTTTGGTCATGTTGTCAGAAGGGACCATTCCCTGGAGAAGGATGTCATGCTTGGTAGGGTGGAGGGTCAACAAAAGAGGGGGAGGCCTTCAAAGAGATGGCTTGACACGGTGGCTGCAATGATGGGCTCAAGTATAGCAGGGATCATGGAGCTGGTGTGGGATTGGGCAGCGTTTCGTTCTGCTGTGATGGGATCGCTATGAGTCAGAAATGACTCAACGACACCTAACAACATTCTACTGATACACCCTGTCCTGAGATGAAGCAGAAGAAGATGATGCTGTCCTGAGACGTTGCTTCAGAGGAAGCAGCTCCATTCTCTAAGGTAGTATTCTAATATAAAGAAGAAACCCTCCAAGTCACTTGGCATAGTGGACTGGGCTTTTATTCTGGCAAATCAGTGTTTCATGGGGCCTGAGGTACATTTAATTTGGAGGCTCTCTTAAGAAAAGGAACACAAAATTATAAACACAAAATGTCCATGGCCACTCTGATACCATCCTATATGGAGGAAACTGTGACAGAGGGAAAGTTAGAGTGAAAAGAGACAGTGAGCTTAAGTGATTGTGGTTAAAGTATCTTATTTCTGCCAATTTTACAAAAATATATGACCATGTGAACACATTGCCAGGGCCTCTCCCAGGGCCTTGGAAAAAGCCATACAAGTGGGGACCCTGAAATGTAAGTGTCCTTGTTGTTATTAGTTCCATTGAGTCAATTCTGATTTATGGCTACCCATGAGTTACAGAGTAAAACTCTCCATAGGGCTTCCTTGGAGGAGCTCTGGTGGTGCAATGGTTAAAGCATTCAGCTGCTAACCAAAAGGTTGGTGGTTGGAACCACCAGCTGTTCTGTGGGAGAAAGATGAAGCAGTCTGCTTCCTTAAATGATTTACAGCCTTGAAAACATTTGGGGCAGTTCTACTTTGTCCTACAAGGTTGCTATGAGTTAGAATAGACAATGGCAGTAGGTAATCTTAATGGAAGCAAATCACCAAGGCTTGTCTTCTGCAGTACTGCTGGGGAGGTTTGAAAGACCAACCTTTAGGTTAGCAGTCTACTGCAAACTATTCCTTAGCTTTATGCAAACCACTTCTGGGTATAGGGGCCATCATTTTTTTTTTTTTTTTAAGTTTTTATTGTGATTTGGGTGAAAGTTGACAGAGCAAATTCATTTTCCATACAACAGTTCATTCCCATTTTGTCTCATGACATTGACTGCAATTTCCCACAATGTAACAGCTCTCTTCCCACTTCTTCCCCATAGTTACCTCTTCCCTGTGTCCTTCCCTCCCATGTACTCCTGCCCCCCCACCAGCTGTCTCCCTGTGCATACAGTGCCCTTCTGTTCTCAATAGGGGCCATCTTTAATGAACACGAAGTATAAGACATGTCACAGAGAATCTAAAAATAGTGTCTTAATGGAGTATTTTACTATACATTTGATATTTAAGGTAAATTTCAAGTCAAAATAAATATCTCTAAAATGTATAAATCTCTCTGGCAATTTTCTTTAAAGTTTCTTACCATTTCTAAATTATCTGCAGTTATAGGGTCAGTATTGTTCTGTGGAAAAAAATGAGAAATTAATTCACAATAGGTTTTCTGTATATTCATCCCCCCTCACCCATTATTAATCTTCTGAGATGCTCTTTCTTCCCTCAGTTACTCTTGTGAGAAAGTGAATTCATTCAGTAGACAGTGAGGACCAGTATTTGGTTGGTCCTCTGACTTGCAGGATTCTAATAAATGAGCCCCATTCTCTAGGAATTTAAATGTAGTTGGGGAAACAAGAAACAGTTAAAAGACAACAAGAGGATATATGAACATGTGAACATGTAGAAGTGAGAAGACCATTATAAAAATCTAAGTTGAAGTGAGTATTTCAGATGGGCAAAATATATCTGTGATGTTGACAATTATATTTAAGTAATTCAAGATGCAATTATACTAAAAGAATCACCACTGTAACTGTCATTGGTTGGTTGCTTCTCAGGGTATAAAAATTGAGTGAATTATGGGGAGAAATCACTCCCATCCCAAGGTGCTTTTCTCACTTGGATAGTAAATTAGTGCATCAAAAAATAAGTATCTGTTGGTCACTGAGTATGAGACTATGGGGTTGCCTGATTAAGAAAGCAGAAGGCATAGTTTTAACAATTCAGAAATGTACCAACTAGTTAAGAAAAAAGGATTCTCATACACAAAAAAGAACTGAAGATCAAGGGACTAAAAATATGAGAAGTGTCAAAATAAAGAGGAACAAAAAGTAAATTCTATGAGAGTTTCCAGAAGGAAGATCTCTTGGCTGGTAAATCTCCCAGGATGCAGGACTCTACCATGAAGATAATCACTTGGAAAAACAGGCTTTATTCAAAACCACTCAGTGAGCTCAGTAGTCATTGTGACTCAGTCTCAGTCTCCTTTATTAATATTTTCACTAATTTTTTAGCCCCTAATAGAATATGTTTTAAACCAGTGTTAAATTAGTAATACTTAAAAAAGAAAAAAAAAAAAAAAGAAAAGAAAAAAGCACATTGGATTGACAAGCAAATTAAGTTGATCAAAATAATATTTACTGAGGAACTATATATACCATAAAAGGAGCTCTGGTGGTGTAGTGCCTAAGGCATTTGACTGCTAACCAGAAGGCTGGTGGTTCAAACTCACCAGCCACTCCATGGAAGGAAGACTGGGTTCCAATCTACTTCCGTAAAGATTTACCACCTTGGAAGTCCAAAAGGGGTCACTATGAGTCGGAATTGACTTGATGGCAATGAGTTTGGGTTTTTTTTTTTTTTTTTAATATATATCGTAAAGACACAGCACAAGGCCCAGGCTTCATATGTAATTAAACTGAAATGATACTTTTTACTTTCTAAGAACAACATAAAGAATACACATATTCCTGATTATTAAGAGCAACCCCTTTATATCATAGTCTAGTGAAGTTAGTAGAATGTAAAACATGGAAGAATTTTAACACAGGAGGGAAAAAATAAATCTACCCATGAGCCAGAAATCAGGACAAAAGATCCTCCTCTCAGAGAAGTGCTCCGAGTGGAGTCTGTGGAAAGCAACTCCCAGACAAGGGAGAGACTGAGGTTCCCACAAACGAAGACACTTCTACTTTTTAATATCTAGGTTGAACCACAGCGAATCGATTTAGGAGACATGGGCCAGTGGTCCTGTTGTCCTTCTATCTTACAGCCTCCAAAAGGCCTCATTCATCTTGATATTCTAAAGAGGATTTAGGCTGGATATGGGTCAAGGGTAGGGAGAAAGATATAAATTGAAAACAGAGATGTTTCCTACCAGTTGCAGTAGTTTGGCTTTTTTCTTTAGATTTACAGTGTTGAGGGGGTGCTCCGCCTCTTTGAGCCAAGACTCCTTGGGCAACTTATACACATCTAGCCAAACATCTCCGGCTCCTGCATTGGGAAACCAAGAAACAGTTGAGCAACTGTAAGTGGGAGGCAAGTTTCCCCTGAGGCACAGTCTGTCTTCTCAGAACTGCTGGCACCAAGACCAGACACCTCTGCACCAGGTACCCTTTGAACAGCGACCTTGACAAGTTGAAGAGGATGCAGTTCTGCAATGTTTGTTACAAATCATCACTCCCCAAGTAACTTTCCCCTCAGGCCACCACCCTCTCAGAGAAATGCTGCTTCCCATACTCAGAGCATTTATGCAACAGTTTTAACCAAACTGCCTGCTTTGCCCAGTCCCCATGTTTTCTCTGTCCCAAGTGGTAAATTTCACCAACATTTCTGTCCTACAGTTATGCCTGTCTGGGGAGGAAGGTAGCGTACACAGAATCAGTAACTGAGAGAGTGAGTGGCTAAGGATTAGAATTGACCCTGAGAGCTTTCTCCTGACCTTTATTTGAGGGGATGACAAGTTGCAGAGCAGCTGTGGGACTTTATTTTGTCATGGAAACATGCTTAGCTTCCACAAGCACCAGCCAACCTGGGAAAAGGTTGCTCTCCCATGGTTTGGGCTTCTGGTTAAATGTTTCCTTAAAAAAGTAATCATCTGGAAGAGATGGCAAATCTGAACAGCCTTTGGTAGTCTTGCCTTGTAGGAGGAAGGCTGCGAAGTCCCCTCCATGAGAGATCTCCAGCTTTATACAGGTGGTTTGCTTGCTGGCATCCTCCTGGAAAAAAGAGAGACACTGGTAGAGTAAACTCAACCCAATAATAGAGGACATGGGCTTTCTGTGCTTCGCACTCAAACTCATCAAACCATGCTCACTGCCATCAAGCCAATTCTGACTCATACTGCCCCCCACTGGGTTTCCAAGGCTGTAAATCTTTACGGAACCAGACTGCCTCATCTTTATTCAGTAGTGTGGCTGCTAGGTTCAAACCACCGACCTTTTGGTTAGCAGCCAAATGCCTGAACCACTCCTCCAGAGTTGTTGTCATGTGCCGTCGAGTTGGCCCCGACTCCTAGCGACCCCTCCTTGAGTTTCCAAGGCAGTATCACTACAGAAGTAGGATTGCCCAACCTTCCTTCCGAGGAGTGGCTGGTGGATTTGAACCGCCAGCCTTCTGGTTAGCAGTCAAGTGCTTTAGCCACTATGCTACCAGAGCTCCACCAAAGTAGGTAACGTAAATCCTTTTAGTGCTTGGGACATGAAAAGATGCCCGCAATAGCTTTATATTTCCCATTTTTGTACAGGAATTGGATATAATGGCTTGTATAGAAGTACAACTCACTTTTCTGTCAAGAAGTTTTTACTTATTTCCTGGTTTCCTAAATATTCCGGATGATTTGTAGTAATTTCATACTATCTGATATGGTCAAGCTCTGTAAACTGTCCAGACCTATGTCAGCATTCAATTATTCAGAGTTGAAATAAGTTCTGCTTGACACTGAAAATTCTGGTGGGTTGCTGGATGAAAGGTTCCATCTAGACATCTCTAGTAGAGACTGAATATAACCCTAGGATGAAAGCTGCTCAAATTTGGGGCAAGATGAGAGATGCTCAATGTGGGTAGCTGTGCTTTAAGAAACTCTAAGACTAGCAAAATATGGTGACTAGACCACTTGTATGGCATTCTGGTGGCTTAATGGTTAAGCCCTTGGCTGTTAACTGAAAGGCTGACAGTTCAAATCCATTCAGCACTCCTTGGGAGAAAAGATCTGGAGATCTGGGTTTTCTATACCAAGAACATACTATGAAGCAGTTCTACATTTGTCACATAGAGTCCCTATTGGGTAGTTCTACTCTGTCATATGAGTTGCTATGAGTTGAAATAGATTTAATGGCACACAACAGACAAGTTGTATGGATAAGCCTTTTAGCTAATTTAAGGGGAATGGTTAGTTTTTTAAAAAAAAATTTATTTATGCATTTTTATATCAACTTCCTACTATAGAAATTTCAAACATACAGTTAGAGAAAATAGTATCTATTACTCAACACCAAAAATTATCAACCTATGATAAATCTTGTTTTATTATCTTCCATACTTATTAAATTAATATTTTTATTTGATTATGCCTAAAAGGTTAACAATAGTTCCTTAATATCATCTAATAGCCAATTTTCTTTCAAATTTCCCCAATTACATTATAAATCTCATAAATATATTTTCACAAGTGCTTTCTTCAAAGTAGGATCCAGATGAGGTCCATGCATTTTATTTAGGTAACATGGCTCTCACCAAACCCCACTGCTATCAAGTTGATTCCAACTCATAGTGACTCTCTAGGACAGAGTAGAACTGCCCCATGGGGTTTCCATAGCTGTAAATCTTTGCAGAAGCGGACTGTCACATCTTTCTTCCACTGGGCACCTGGTGGGTTCGGATCACTGACTTTTAGGTTAGCAGCCCAGTGCTTTAACCACTGAGCCACTAGGGCTCTTTCATAGCTCTTAAGTCACGTTAAATTTATAATAATTCCTCCCTCCATTTTTGCTGAAGAAATCAGGTCATCCTGGGAGCTCAGGACCATGATCTCAGGGGACACTAAAATCAATTAACACAATATAGTCCACCAACATAATGTTCTACATCCTGCTTTGGTGAGGAGCAACTGGGGTCTTAAAAGCTTGTGAAAGGCCATCTAAGGTACACCTATTGGTCTCTTCCTGTCCAGAGCAAAGAAGAGTGAAGAAAATAAAAAATGTAAGGAAATAATCCAAAGGACTAATGGACCACATAAGCCCCCGCCTCCATGACCCTGAGGTCAGAACTAGATGGTGCCCCACTACCATTGCTTACTGCTCTGAAATGGATCACAATACCAGGTCTCCAACAGAGTGGGAGAAAAATGTGGAACAAAACTAAAAATCATATAAAAAGACCAGGCTTACTAGTCTCATAGAGACTGGTAGAACCCCCAACATTATAGCCCTTAGACATAGTTCAAGTTGAAACTGAACTCATTCTCATGGCTCAACTTTCAGCCAAACTATAGCTAGGCCTATAATTGTGAAAAATAATGCCTGGAAAAGTACGTACTTATTAGAACAATCACCCATACAAGATCAAAAGGGCAGCATTTGCCCAAGGATAAAGTTCAGAAGGCAGGAAAGAAAAGAAGGATGAAGGGAAAAGGTTAACACAGGGAGGAAGTGGTGTGCTGTTACATTGTGAGAACTGCAATGAATGTCACAAAATAAAATGTGTATGAATAGTTGAATGGAAAACCAATTTGCTCTGTAAACTTTCATGCAAATCACAATTAAAAAAAAAAAAAAAGAAAGACAGACAGAAACCAGTCTTTTGTCCTGTAGAATTTTTCACATTCCTGATTGGACCAGTGTCATCTACATGGTGTCATTTTAACATTTTCCTCTGTACCCTGTATTTCTTGTAAACTGATGAGTACATCTAGACATATGACTAGATATATGTTCAATTGTTTTGACAATAATATTCCACAAGTGTGCCAAGTATTCTCTATAGCATCACTTCAGGAGGCTGATAATACCTGGTTGTCTCTTCTTTAGTGATATTAAGGTTGATCACTGAGAACAGGTGTTTTCATTCTGACCCATCAATTCTAAAGTTCCTCATCAGCCAATTGAGGTCACTGCCTAGACTATTACTTTTTTGCCTACCCAAAAAACTAAACTCACTGCCATTGAGTCAATTCTGACTCAAAATGACCCCAAAGGACAGAGTAGTACTGCCCCATAGGGTCTCCAAGGCTGTAAATTTTTACGGAAGCAGGCTGCCTCATCTGTCTCCTGCAGAGCACTTGGTAGGTCTGAACTGCCAACCTTTTGGTTAGCAGCTAGATGCTTTCATTTATGCACCACCAGAGCTCTTAAATTTTTGCCTAGACCATGCAAAATAGTTACAAAATTATAGTAGTCCAATTCCATCATTCCTTCTGCATTTGTTAGAAATTTTTCTCTAAAGAAAAATTTTCTATAAATTTTCATTATCAACTATTTGGTCATCGTGAAACATAATCAGGATAAATGTTCTATTATCAGTTTTCAGAAATTAAGTAACTTCATGGATTTAAAAACATTTTGGTGTGTTTTAATCTATTCACAATACTTTTTTGATAATGGATCTATAAAGTTTGGATGTCATAAGTAAGCTGGTCTAATAAGATATGCTGAAGAGTGTTCCTTTTATGCTTTTCTTTAGAGAGTTTTTCAAAGACAAAATTTAAATATGGGGAAATGCACAGACATTTATGCACATCAAATATACAAATTGATGAATTCTGGAAACTAACTAACTAACACCCAGTCAAGATACAGAACATTACCAACCTCCAGAAAGCTTCTTTGTGCCCCCTCTTTCAATCACTACCTCTACAGGCAACCAGTGTTCTGACTTCCATCAGTACCATAGAGTAGTTTTGTCTATTCTTATAGTTCACATAATTGAAATTATGTAGAATGTACTCTTACGTGTCTGCTGTCTTTCATTCAATGTTTTTGAGTTTCATCTATGCTGTTATGAGTATTGGTAGTCCATTGTTGTTGTTATTACTCATTCTCTGATCATTTTCAATTTTTATTATGAATAAAGCCACTGTGAACAATCTTTTTTTAAAAGCATTTTATTGGAATATAATTTATGTACAGTGAAATAAATACACAAAACTAAAGTGACATGGGTCAATCCAATTTTTTTTTTTTTTTGCAGTGTTCCTTCCCCTCCCCTCCCACCCTGGCAATCAACAAAGAAAGTTTCCCTCCATATATTAGCCTTTCCTTGACCCTCCACAACAATGAACTAATACTATATTTGTCTTTCTGTGATTGACTTATTTCACTCAGCATCATGTCCTCCAAGTTCATCCATATTATGTGGTGTTTTGCAGACTCTACATTATTCTTTAGGGCTGCATAGCATTCCATTGTGTATACGTACCATAGTTTGGTCATCTACTCTTCTGCCGATAGAAACGTAGGTTGTTTCCATCTTTTTGCTATTGTAAATAGTGCTGCAATGAACATGGCTGTGCATATATCTGTTCCTGTCCTGCCTCTCACCTTTCTAGGATATATACCTAGTAATGGGATTGCTGGGTCAAATGGTATCTCCAATTCCAGCTTTCTAAGGAATCACCATACTGCTTTCCACAGTGGTTGTATCACTTCACAGTCCCACCAGCAGTGTATGAGAGTCCCAATCTCTCCACATCCCTGCCTTTTCTGTTTTGTTGAACTTTGCCATCAGTGCTGGGGTGAGATGGTAGCTCATTGTTTTGATTTGCATCTCTCTGATGGCCAATGATCATAAGCATCTCTTCATGTATTTACTGGCCTCCTTAGTGAAGTGTCTATTCATGTCTTCTGCCCATTTATCAATAGGATTGTGAATTCCTTTGCTGTTGAGGCACTGGAGTTTTCTATAAAGCCTAGGACAAGTCCCTTGCCATATATATAATTATTGGCACATATGAAATCATTGTTGTCATTTTTATTATGTGCTTTTTGGTGGTGTTTATTTCTTTGTTCATATAATTATCTATGCTGAGGTTGTTTTGTTTATGAATCATGTTGTCACTTCCTTCATTGCCATTGTTTTAGTATTTGCTAAATATTTGTGCTTGTCCTCTTATTTACTTTGATGTGAAGGTTTATCATTTTTCTTTGAGGTTACCCTATGATTTATACTTTCTTCCCAAGTTTAGTACAGTCTGTTCTATCTTGTAGTTGTCTTGACTTCCCAA